TGTAAAATCCAATGGGTGATTCTGCTGGATGTCAGTGCAAATTTCTTTAGGAAAGTTAATGCCTTTTTATCTGAGGGTACCTTAATCTTATGTCCAAAGACATACAGTCTAAACTTCTGTAGTGCGTAAACTATGGCTAGTAGTTCCTGCTTGCAAGTAGAGTACCTTTATTCTACTGAAGCAAGTACTCTAGAAGCAGTGCACACTATATGCTTCTCCCTTTTGTTATTCATTTGAGTTAGGATACCGCTAATGCCGAACTTGCTGGCATCCATATACAGTTCATATGGCAACTCCTCATTGGGGTGGATCGGGTGTATGCTTGGCGCAAATTGAGCACAGAGATTCTCAAAAGCTACCTGTGAGTGTGGTGTCCACTTCCATCTTTTTCCCCTTTTCAATGATGGCAGAAGTGGGACTATGTAATCAGCATAATTCATGATAAAGCGGTGATGAAAATTGCAAGTCCCAAGGAAACTGCCTCAGTTGTTTTTGATTGCATGGAGGAGGATAATTTGAAATGGCTTCCACTCGAGCAGGATCAGCCGATACACCAGTCTGTGTTATTCTGTGCCCTAGAAATGTCACCTCTGTCTGGCAAAACTGACATTTTGCCATGACAGTAAAACCGGCCTTGGTAAGTTTGTGCATGATTGTCTGTGTGTCTTAAGTGTTCATCGAAGCTTCTTGAATGAATTAAAATATCATCTATGTAATAAACGATGAACTGCCCAGTGGTAACTTCAGTGTCCTTACAAAACCAGACAAGGAATTCCCAAAACCATACAGCGCTCTCTTATACTGGTATGTGGTTGACTTGAACAAAAATGCTGTATAAGGGCGTGATGACTTCTTCAATGGCAGCTGAAGAAATGCCTTACTGAGATCCAGAGAAGTCATGAATTTAGTTCCATGAAATCTTTGGAGCAACTCGTGCAGAGGTGGGGCTCTCTCATGGTCTGGGATGGTAACTTTGTTGACATGGCAAGCGTCAATACAAAGTCTGATCTCCTTCCCTTCTCTGTGCACTATCATTACAGGGTTTATATATGGGGATTCTGATATCTCCAGTATATCATCCTTAATCATCTGACAAATCTGTTTCCTAATTACAGGGTGTACAGCAAAAGGTATTATGTGGGAATGGCTCATAACTGGGCACTTGTCTGTTAAATTAAAGTTATACTCCATCAGAGTACATTTCCCTGGCTTCGAAGTTAAGCTATCTCTGTATTTCATCATCAGACTAATTAAATTTTCTTTTTCTGACAAGGACAGATTCTGGTTCTTATAAATCAAAGTAGACATCTCAGTAGGAGAAATAGTTCTACAGTCTGGAGTGTCATCGTTAGATTTGTGGATATGAACTTCATTTATTGGGGTCCCTCCTAACCTTTTACGATCATTATGCCTCCGCTTCTCAAAATCATCCTCTTCTTCTGCATTATAAAACCTTCCATTTATTCAGCTAATAACTCGAACTTCATCTTTGTCAATAAACTCATCATCTTTACTCCTGTCATCATTGGACATGCTCGCGTGGGTCTCACACCCTGACATAACTGCTTCATTTACTCCTTTTAGTAGCAAGGCATTTGCAACCTGCTGGGACTTTTCCCATTTTTTCACAAATATTGGTTCCTTCCACACTGTTGTTACTATGGGATCCCTCAAAACTGCTTCAAACAGTTGTAAGTGGCTCTCACTCACTGGCAGTATATGGCTTTCGGGGGTCACTGATCTCGGGAAAGTGTCGTTCAGTATACACTCATGTGGCAAAGAACTACTGTCATCTACCTCAGCTCTTCTCCTTTGGCTAAATCCTCGTTTTATCAAAATTCTGTCCCACTTATACTTGATACATTCATCACTGAAATCTATGATCAGCCCACAGTCTCTTGCAAAGTCACACCCGATAATGACTGAGCCAATTAACTGAGGAGACACTAAGAACACATTTTCAAACACATCCTGTCCAATAGAAAGTTCCAAGTATACCTGCTTCTTAAGCCGTTTTGTCCTGTTACCAAATGCTGTGATGACCACGTTATTATTTCTGATCTCATACATTGGCAACCCTTTCAATACTAATTGATCATACATTTTCTCAGAAATCACGGACACTTCAGATCTGCTGTCAATATAGCAATCTACTGCCTGGTCATCAAATCTAACTTCTACACAAGGGCAATAATTCAAATTTGCTTCGTTTATGTAGAAGACAGTTAACTCACCCATGTCTGAAGAGTTAAATTTATATGCATCATTGTCAGAAAAGTTCTGGGCCTGAGGACCTTGTGTTCACGTTTCAGTCAGGCTCAAGTTCTGGTCTGCAACTGATCCCATTTCTAGTTTTCCTAACATCTGTTGTTTCCATTATCAGTCACATTATCTGTTCTGTTGTTTCGGACAACTTGGCCTGAATAAGGAGGTGCATTGGGGTCTAATATCTGTCAGTTCACTGAGGAAGACTGATGGTCACCTTCTCTGCGTCTCCCATAATTTTGCTCAGAGTATACTCTGTTTCCTCGCCAGTATTGTCCTCGCTGATTATACTCATTTGGACGTGAAACAAAAGTTTGCCTTATGAAGTTACTGTTCCCTTTAGATCTATTGTATCCATGATAAGGCTGAAGTCCATGGGGATTCTGAGTTTCTTGGGATTTAGGTACATGGTTCGAGTCTTGGTAAATGTTGTTCCCTTCTATTGATTTGAGCCGTTGCAGGAATTGATCGCATCTTTAATTGAAATTACTTGAACGGAGGCAAAGCTTCGTTGGATATGCAAAGCAAAATGGCTCATTAATGCATTAATCAATTCAACATCTGACATTTTCGGCTGCAAATAAGACCCTAATACCGCGATATTCAGAAAATGCCCTGATAGCGTTAACCCACTTTGCTTGTTGTACTTATCTTGGTAGATCGACTTTCTACATTACCCTGAGTGACCTGATTCCAGGAAGCCTCAGCGAATGCTGATTTGAACTGACTGTAATCATTCAATGTTTGTGACGCCTCTGAAACTCAGTCCTTGGCTGTCGGGTCAGTTACGGAACACAAAGCGATCACGAGTTGCATTTCTTTTGGCACACCTTTTAGAGCGAAATATTCATCCAACTGTTTGAGGTGGTACATGGCATTAATTTTACTACGGTCATCAGAGTACGGCAAGGAAAGTTCAGTGGGGTTCAAACAGCTGCCATGAGCTGGCAGGACTTACATTACTGCTCACAAGCAGGCCCCTTGAATCAGACACATTAGCATGCATACTCTCATTACAATTACACGGTACTCCGTGAGTGATCCTTACATTCTCAATTGTGTTAGAATTGATGTGCACAGACTCAGAAGAAGATTGGCCAGGATCAGTACTAGCATTGTCATTTGGAGGCAATGAGGTAAGGCTACACTGAACCGTTGTACAACCAAATAATTGTAATTTAATAGCATTTACTTCACTATTTAATTGACTGAAATGACCTTTATTCCTAGACTGCAATTTCAGAAATTCTACATTTAAATTTTGGACCTTCGCTTCGGCTTCTTTCTGCCAAGTTTTCGCACTGATGACCATTTCAGTTTGCACAAATTTGATTGCCTCTTTCATCTCAATGACTTCTTTAGCAGCAAATTCTTTATTTAAGATCATTTGGTTTCCTAACTCACTAGTTAGCTCCGTTGTTTTTAGCACATGTGATTCTATCTTATTATCTATTTCTTTACTGCTACGAGCTCTCTTTCATTGTCTTCCCTAACCTGTTGCACTAATTTGCCCATCCTAGCAGATTCATGTTGCAATTTATCATGAAGGCATTTACTTAATATAATGTTTCGCCTTTCAAATTTTTCTGTCAATCTCTTATCCTCAAAGCGAACTTCTTTCAATTTACTCATTTCGTCTTTGACACTTCTCTCTATGTCCCTCTGTAATTTCTCATTGGCTTCTTTAACAGTGTTTGATGCTGCGTAGTCTGGTAGAAGTTTGCCAGTGTTTTTCTTTTTTTTTAATATCAACCAACTACCAGACAGTGTGGGATCACATCCCAGAAGTTAATGCTGAGAGAAATGCAAATCTGACATAGTAAATATTTAAACTTCATTATTAAGAACATAATTATTTATATTTTGCTTCTTGTAGTAGTATTTAAGTTTATTAAATAGAGGAGAATATACTGTAACTTGAATTTTGGAAATGAATACCCATAGAATTTTATGATATTCATTTATTAAATTTAAATATTTTGGGTGTGCTGTCATTGTAACTTAACAACTACCAGAGAGTTACTGTTATGTTCAAATATTATGTAGTATAGGCTGCTTCTTGGTAATGCTGTGGATTATTTATAAAATTCTGAACAGAACTTGTAAAGCTTACTTTCCTACCGCATATATTTCTAATCCAGAAATCTGTCACTATTGTTCTATTTTTGTCAAGAATATGTTACTTAAATGGAGATTCTGTTGACATTAAATTTGTTGATATAACTTCAAGTGTCACATCATCACTGTGATCATAGTATTTACTGTGTAAATATGTTTATGGTGTGTCTGCACACCACATTTCATGCACCTTGCTTCAGTGATTCATTAGTTATCACCATAAAATTAAAGCTAAAGAAAATTTCTATATGCTTACATGAACAAAAGTTTAATTTTTTTCTCGAGGTCCTTAAGTAAGTGGTGCTAGTGGTGCTAGATTTACTTGCATTGTGCATATGCACAGTTCATCTATGTTAATGCTGGTTATTGGGACTTAAAAAGTGTCACATTGAGGGTAGCTTCTAACAGCATAACAGTCATAGCAAAGTTTGTGAAAATTGACAAGTTGAAAGGGGAGGCAGGCGCACACACGCACAATATTGATCTGACAAGCCTACTGAAAGGAACGTATGCGGAAAGTAATTTTGCCATAAATTGTTCAAGGAATTTGATAATTATATATATTAATAGGAAAAGAAGAGTGCCTTTCTTAGAGAAAACTCTGCTCTTCTTTGCAGTACTTGTTGCCATTCATCTTAAACCAGTTTGGATCTGTGCTGTATTATATCACATTAAGAACTTCAGGTAAGCTCTTTTGTATCATCCTGATAACATTTTGCTTGTTAAACATCCAACAAAACCGTATTCAAAAGAAAAGATGAGATGGTAAATGTATAGAAGTTGAATCTGAAGCTGCTCTGCCACCAGCAAGATACCTAGATGATAAATGAAGATAATGGCTGGCTGAGTAGATGTACAGTATAATAACATATCTGGACCACTGTTGGAGTGTGGGCATAATCCAACTTTTATCCAGTTTTGACTGTGAAAGTTGTCAAATAAGATAGATCCATATTGACAGGGTTTGTCTGGTACATTGGCATTCAATGGCACCAGTTTTTTAAGTTAACTGTTAAGTTCTTTATTTACAGTAACTATTTATATAATAGTTACATGGCATCACTTTGATTAAACATAATTTTCCAACATATGAGGAACACTAATACAGGTATGAAAGAGATGATACTGGGCCCATCAATTATACATGTTATTGTTTAAACATATGTTTAAATAAAATATTGCCATAAATATCAAAAATTAAATGTAATATTAGCTTTACATTTAGATGTAATATTGCCATAAGTATAAAAAAATTAAATGTACCATCCTTTGGGTTATTACCTTCTTGTTGTGGTGGAGAGAACCCAGTGTCAGGATCCAGAGAACTACACTGGGGAAGTCTAAGAGTTGAGAGAAGTGAACAGTAACAACCTACACCATGGCAGTGTTTTCACCCAGATTGGGTGACTACTAACAGCATTGTATCTCCAGATCATAGGCAGCTGGATGAAACCCCTGCAAGGCTGGAGGCAGAGAAATGTCAGCCTCATCACTAGACTTGCCATGCATGATGGTGGCATGACCGTGTGAGATCTGACTGATACCTCAGAAGCTGCAGAAAACAAAAATGATGGCCAGAACAGTGAAGAAAGTTAAGCAGAAAGGCATTTCAGCACAACTTCACGTTTCAGTGTGAGCCGTAGCCTGGATCAGTAACAAGGAAGAAAAATTAGAGAATGAACTTTGAAAAGTGCAAGCAGAGCATGATTTCAGAAAATAAAAATAAGCTGAAAAGAACCATCCTTGGAACATTTTGTACCTTGTTACAGTGGAGTACCACAAGAAAGACAAGCCTTCTCAGGCATAGCAGTTATGTTAAATAATAATTTTATAAATAGAAGCATGTTGATGCAATAGATACAAATTATTATACTGTCACTGGATAGTTGTAATGTTTGTATTGGTAAACAGAGAGTTAAGGACATTATAGTGTGACATGATCACTGATGAAGACAGCTTTTGCTTGGTAATGACTCGATAAACATATATCCACAGCAACAGATACAGGCACAACAAGAGAAGAGATTGTTGGGAATGATGTTTACTTTGTGGTCCATGCTGAAGTTTTATAATTACAGCCTTTGAGAAGCTGATAGTGAGTGGTAGCCTGAGATAACCAGCGAGTAGTCAGTGATGGCTAGTGATCCTGTATGTAACAGTTGAGAGGGAATTGCAAACAAGACATCATCCAATGAGGACGTGAGCACAGAAGCAGAAGAACTTCTATGGTTAGCAGATGTAACCTAGGGATGCCTAGTCAAGGCATAACAGACTGAGACTTAGTGTTTGCAGTATTGATTTTTTAAGTTGGTAGATTAGTGATAGTGTTATAACTGAAGAAAGCAGTCTTCTGGGATTTGGCACCGTGTATATGTGGTGTTAACCGATGTTTTGGAGGAACGTATCGCCTCCATCTTCAGGGTAGAAGAAAAAATATAAGAAATCTGTAAGCGAAGAGACCGTGAGAACCGGTAAAGTCTGCTTTTACGTTCCTCCGAAACATCGGTTAACACCACATATACACGGTGCCAAATCCCAGAAGACTGCTTTCTTCATAGTCACCGCCGTGAAAGCCTCAAATCTTACACAGTGTTATAACTGTTTGTAGTTACAAATTATTAAGAGTCAAGTGAATCAAGCAAGCAGTCTCTTTTGCTTGGCTCTTCAGGGTGGAAAAGTATATGTAGATCACCCATGTTCTGCTACAACAGGAGAAAAAGTAAAGCTTAGAAGTTCTGTAGAATGTGTAGTTGCCCTATCCCATTTGACACACGTACTTCCTGCTGTGCTTCACCATGGAGAACTTCCAGTCAGACATAAAGACACAGCAGTGCCCTCGGCCTTAATTGACAATTTGGCACTGTTTTGTGGATCCACCCAATGAATGAATGTATAAGGGGTGGGCCTTCTCGGCCCTTGCACCGCGACCTACAGTGGTCTATTGTACTTCCCCTTTTGATTAACCCCTTAGCAATCCTGCACTTCATTTGAAGTGCAGGATTTTGTACATGGGGGCGTCAAAATAGTCACTTGGTTCCATAAAGTATTGACCCAAGTAACGTAATCTTAAATAATCTAAGGCCTCACATTGACACAGGATATGTGTGGCTGTTTCATTTTCTTCTTGGCACCTCTCACAAGTGGGACTATCACTTAGTCCCAGTTTGAAGAGGTGTCCTTTAAGGTGACAGTGCCCTGTACGTAGTCCCACCACCCATCGTGGCTGGTTCGTGTTTAACTTCAACAGTTCCTTCGCTCTTTTAGCAGAGGGTCCTCATATGAGTCCCTTTGCTTGCCTGAGTCCAATCAAGGATCCCCAGTATTTTTTGTGCTTCATATTTTTCCTGTCCCTGATTGCCTTTCTGGCAACTCCTATAGAGATGTCACAGGCTGGTTCAGGTCCTATGAACGGATATTCAGCTCCAATCTTAGCCAATTGGATCCACCCATTACTACATCTGGCTGCTCTACCTCTATCCAGTTCATGCTGTCTCAGTTACAGTTACTATTACTATTATACAGGGTGATTCATATAGAACTGGCCCCGTGAAATGAGCCGTAATATAAAATATACCATACAGATATTAAAGTAATTTACACATATCTTATCTTGGATTGTATGCCGTGATCAGAGAAGGTGTTGAAAGTGTCCGCCGTTTTCAAGTAGGCAGGCCTCCACCCATGTTTGCATATTCTCCGTGACTCTCTGCAGTGTTTCTTCAGTGATGTTCCTGATTTCAGCCGAAATGTTGTCCTTTAAATCCTGTAACGTATGCGGTTTGTTTGCATACACCCTGTCCTACAGTAAACCCCAGAGAAAAAAATCCAGCCTGATAAGGTCGGGGGATTTTGGGGGCCACATCTTTTTAGAGATGACGCGATTGGGGAAGAAGCTCTCTATCAGTTCCATGGACATGTTGGACGTGTGGCACGTCGCTGAATCCTGCTGAAAATAACCCTGTGTAAGTTCCACATCATCCGGCTGCTGCACAAAATCGTAAAAAATACGGCAGTATAAGGTGCTGTCCACGGTCACGTCAAAGAAGATCGGTCCAATGATTCGTAAACCAGAAATGACGCACCACACACACATTTTTTGTGGGTGTAGTGGTGATTCAGCAATCTCATGTGGGTTTTCAGATGCCCAGATCCTGGAATTTTGTGCGTTTGCATATCCTGATAGGTGGAACCATGCTTCATCATTAAACCAAGTGATATCCAAAATTCTGGGGTTATCATGCACGAATTCCTGAAACCATAAACCGTACCATACCCGTTTATCTTTATCAACATCACCCAATTCCTGAACACTGGTGATCTTGTAGGGACGAAGATTCACGTTCTTTGCAGCCCGTTGATACGTTGAATAAGAATACCCAGTCGTAATGATTTCTTGGGAGACTGCAGTAACGTGTCCTGCACAATTGCAATTGTTTCTTCTGTCATTTCTGGGCGGTTTTTACCACGTTCACTTTAAAGTGTCCCTGTCCTTTCCAATTTCTGAGCCAAGGACTATAGTCGATTTCGCTGGCTTCGTGCGAACTCCATACTTCCTCCTGAATTCCAATTATATATTCGCAATCGAGCCTGTCACCCAGTAGATGCACACGAGAAACACTTGCTGTTCAACAGTGTACTCCATGACTGTCGCCTGTGTACTGCAGACACGTTTTGGAATTGTCCTTGACCTTGCAGCATAAGGGCTGCAACTTGCAGGATCATGCACACACCATTTGACTCAGCACGGCCCAAAGTTTGTTGTGTCGTAATTGTGAGCGGTTATATGCATCACCTGCGGAATTATTAGCGAATTCATCGGGCCAGTTCTATACGATTCACCCTGTACTATTAAGCCTTCACATGCAGCCCTATTACCTAGTTATATTCATGATGTTAAATGCTTATCAGGACTGGGAAATGAGAAGAATTTCTCAGTTAAAGTCATCAAGAAAGAACAACACTGTGATGTCTGTACACCTGTGCCTTGTGTCCTCCCACCATAATTTCTCTGCCTCAGTTGTGCAATAGTTTTGAACAGTTCTGAGTCATTGTACATAATTTTACTTTCAGATCTTACACTAGCTGTACCTGTTGCAAATTCATTAACATTTGTTGCCACTGCATTGTGTGGCTGGGCTGTGGGTGAAGAACTGCCTCACAGAAGTAAGTGAGAACCATAATTGTAAACTTATTTGAACATTACTCAAGGAAAGTGAAAGTTTTACTGACCAGTGACCTAAAGAAAAGCACATAAGGCATATGACAGTCATTCCCAGTTAGGTTCTGAACCAGATACTTTTAAATGCAAAGAAGCAGAAACACCATCATATCCTTGGAAATAACCACAGAAGGATACTATGAACTCAGCAACAGCTGGAGTTAGCTTCTTTGTGGCAGTTGTTTGATGTGGACTATCTTGTGTTTGCAGATACATATTTTGGAATATTGCTTGTCCTGTCTGGAATTTCACTCTGCTTCCTCAGCAAAACATGAAATTGTGGAACACTTGTTGGCAACTATTAACAACACTGGTTCACACTTATACAGTAAAATACGAGTCACAGATGCTCTGTTACAGGTATTACAACTCAGTCTTCCATTCTTTTTTGAGGTCATCCTAAGTGCTATGTTACTCAGACTTAATAATTTATAACTTTCTTGTATTGTTTTTTATTTTTTTATTTTTTTTTGTATTCTATAAACTCTGCTACATATGAGACCTATAATGATTTTGTTATTTTATTTCTCCACATACCTGTGTTGCACTGATGTCACACTTTGGCTGCACTTTGGTTGTCTGGTGAAAGGCTATAAGGAAGAAACATCAGTCCAAGTGGCCAGAGGATGGTGCTGTGCTGAGTTAGAAGTCAGCACTACTTCAACCTTAGGCAGCACCTGTTGGAAAGTGCTTATTATATGCTTTTATGTGTGATATACCACCTTACTTTGAACTTACCCTTCCTACAGTCAGTACTAAACCAGTTTTGGCTCAACTCAGATTTGCTTGACCAGACAATTCTGTACAACCCAGTGATGCTCAAGCACCATGTATGCGTTAGTAGTCAGTGATTAATTTTCTTTCAGTTTCACAAAAGGCATGTGGTCTTCTGAACATGAAACAGAAATTTTACATTTGAGAAGTCGGTGAAGATGTTATGATGTATCCTTCCTAGAGAAGAAGTCAACTGTTTGACTGTATCATTGCGATTATGAGAATGTAGCAACATGCTACATATATTAGGCTTAATTGTCATGTATTGATTTATATTTTGGAAATTAATATTTCAAATGTCAATGACATAAGGAAGCACTCACTATGCAGTACTGCTGCAGATTGTTTAATTATCATTCAGCATTGTCGAGAATACTTCTTATATTAAAACTTTTAATCATAGTATCCAGTAAGAATGAAAGGGTGGAAATACTCCTTATCTATGGGGAATGTGGAAAAAATAGATCACTGCAGCAGCTGTACACAGTGAGATATCTTGAGAAGACTCTGTGGTCTAGTGGTAAGAGTTCCTGACTACAGATCCAGAGTTTCCAGGTTCAATTCCCAGCGGTACCAGATTTTCTGAGAAGTATTGTGTCTGGAACGGGGTCCAGTCAACCTCATGAGGATAATTGAGCGATTTCAAGGAAATGGTGGCTTCGGTCTAGAGAACAGATTAACGGCCTTGGGGATCCATTGTGCTGACCATGTGACACCCTCTGTCCGCAAAAGTTGACACTAACTTCGCTGACAAGTGGCTATCACTCGGTCAGTATAGTTTGCTTGCGGACTACAGACCATGGAGTTTAGTTTTATTAAAATCCTCTGTGAAGCAGGAAGTAGTAGTCCACAGAAATTGACATAAATCTCATATGGATGAAGCTACTGAAATTGCTGTTTTAGGTTCATTTTCAAATAATCCTCATTTTAATACCTAATACGATTGGATTGGAAGTTATTCTGGAATTTGTGAAGGAAATGTGCACTGCATTCTTGAATGTCATAAATCTCACCCCTACCAGGTATCATTACAGTAGGCACTGCATGGGAACAGCTTTTAAAATCATGTATGATTTTGTCATTTGGCACAACAGCAATTTCAGACTAATCACATATTTTTCCAATATCTTGTTTTTGCTTATAAAGCTGCATTCACAAATCGTACACCAGGAGAAATCAGGCATGCACACTGCTGGGCCAGAGAGAACCTGCTATGGCTTTGATAAATTGAGGGCCAGTGCCAGTGGATTGTCAATGTATGGTATGACATTGGAAACCACATTATTTGTCATTTTAATGAAGGGAGTCTAAACTGTGAATGATACATTGTATCCAGCTCCTCCTTTTATAAGACATACCATTCAGAAACTGAATATGGATGCCATGGAACACTATGGCTGCCCAGCTGACCAGTTCAGAGTACATACACGTATATCTTGGTCATAAGATTGGTTGTGGTGGACCAAGAACTTGGCCTACTCATTCTCCAGACCTGACTCCACTAGAAAATATGCCACATTATATTAGTCATGAGTGTGCTGCCATGAATCCACAAGTAAATGAATGATCAAGGCAGTCATTCATCCAACAATTGCAACTCTGCATTAAATTTAACAGGCCACACTTTGAACACCTTTTGTAAATCCTTTTGCTGGCTCAAAATATCAAGTTATTCATTTAGATATTTTTCTTCTGGTGCATATTGTTGCATTCTGTTATAATCAGAATGATACTTTGTGATAATAGTTCTGAATTTGTCAAATAAAAATATAGGATACCATATAGAAAATGTTATAAATAGACTGTATACAAGTAGATTCTAAAGGTTGTGATGATGGTGACCAGTGATTGAGGTTAGATCTTTCTAAGAGACATAACAGAGTAGGTGTCTCCTCCCCAACCTGAGGAGCGAAACAGATCCCGTTTCTAAAAAATTTTTTCTAGTTTCTACAATACCGGATGATTGACAAAGTCCAAAAACCAAGTAATTCTGTGACTGTATACAGCATCATATGCCCTCACAAAACCAAACATTCTTTATGTCAACCATTTTTTATTCAAAGCTAAATATAAGTTATTAAGTTAATGGGACATTCTGTATAAACCACTATAGGAATTCTGCAAGACTCTATCAGTAGACTGTATAAAGACAATTGTGATCCTATTATCTGTAAACCACCTTTGGCCTTACATTGACAAAATGACATAAAACAACATGCACCTCCATCAGTCATTGATTTCAGCATATTATAAATTTTAAATGTATTAAGAATTTGCAATTATATTTAATATAAATTATGATGTTTCCTTTAGTATTGGTTGCCCCTGAAGATGGCCAGTTAAGGTCAAAGCATGATGACTTATGTGAGCATAACTCTTCTTATTAGTTGAGATTTGAACTTCTTTTTGATGAGATACTTGGGTGATTCCATTCCCTACACTTGACATCTGCTCACTGGCTTGTAATGATTGATCCACTGTTGATCACTGGTGACCGTGCAACTCGAACCTTCCTCATGATAAGAGTTCATAAGGCAGTTACATATGTCCAGATGGTTGTTTGTATATACCATGTAGATTGTTGTGAGATCATCAGTGTGAGTTATGTGTGCTGATTCTGTAATGGCTAAAGTAGCTGCTTCAGTGCATGGAAGCAATTGGTGATTAGTATGTAACCAATGACAAAATTCTTAATGCATTGCACTGTACATCAAAATAGCTCTATCTGGGAAACTGTTTGGAATAGGACACATGTACATAAACACTTTTTTGCTTAGAATGACCGGTGCTGTGACCACCCAGAATATTGACCTTTCCTCCTGGGACACTTGTATAAATTTATTTATAGTTGTGTATGTGAGTTAATCTTCACACACATGTAGAGAGATGGCAGGGAATTCAAAATTTCTCTGTCTGAATGATGCAGATATTGAATAATTATTGCATCTAGATCAGGTTTCGTAAGAGAGTTTGTGATTCTCATGGATGTCACTATGAAAAATATGGTCATCTGGGTTGTAACACCATGTAGGTTGGAAAGATCCCAATGTTTCAGAAGAACTTCTAACATCCACCTTCAGATTAGACAGGTAAGCCAAGCAATAAACAGCTGTAGCATGCAGCAAGCTGAAGTGAGCCGAGCTTTCTACCATCTTATGGTTGCTAACTGCATCTTATTATTTTACCCTGAAGATCTTTACCCACCACGTTGGCAGCATAGGCACATGGAGCAGGACGGCATTTGAGGGACAAACTCCAAATGTTGAGAAGTCCCAAACATTGCAAGTTGGAGTGCAAAGAGTAACATTTTCCCAGAGGGAGATGCAGGATTTGAGGCCACAATGTTTCTGAACGAAAAAAGAGTGCAACAAGGTGACATTCATTTATGAAGAGTATACAGAGTTAATTTTTCAAAGGCATAAGATTAACAAAAAGAGCCTGAGGGAAAAACAGATAGAAACTCATGCTGGATGCAGTCAAGGTTGTCGACATCTGTAGGTGCAATAGAATTCCAAACTGTCAAAGCATATTCCAGCATGGAGCTGACTAACACATATTACAGCACATATCCAGGTAATAAAATTTGCAGGTTACTAAGCGGATAAAGCCGAATACCTTTATGCATTCAAAAATTATGAACTCAGCAAAATTGTGAAAATGTGATTATAATTTTGAATCAGAGAAAACACCTAAGTCCCTAATGCTGCTGGTGAGTGTAATGGCAGCATGAAAAACTGATAACCATATCTCAAAACATATGTCTTCCTGCAGTATGGCATAACACGTGCTTTACTAACATTGGGTCCAAGAGCACACTAAAGAACTTTGCAACCACAATTTCTGAGAAAAATTGTCAATTTCAAGCAGGCGTCTGGTTTCCAGCTTATTAGGCGCACACTGAGGAGGATTGATTAGTTGCTCACATCATCTTAAACGATCTTAACTGGGTGTGTTCGTCTGATGTAATGCATAATTATATTTTTTTTAATTTTATGCACTTACCCTCTGCAATGGAAGATAATACTACTGATCCTGTCATAATATGGTCGTACTTGATACCAGTTAAGATGGCGCAAGAAGAGAGGATGACGACCATAAGGGAAACCTTGGTATGTGGATTAATTTGTTTTAATTAAAGCTAATTTATATAATCAGGAAATAACCCATTCACACGCGATTTAAAATTTTGACATACAGTGCAACAATTTTCCATGTTAGGTGGGTCCCTTGTCACCACGGCATGGCACATTCTCAGGTTGTGTATGGAGGGAAGCTGAAAATTTATTGAATAATCAGTCGCAGAGAGCCAACAAGGGCTGGTCCTCCAGCTTGGGGTTTGGGCTTGGGGCTAACAGCTCCTTCCTCCTGAATCCGTTTTTTATTTCTTATCATTCACAAGTATCTGAACTATTCCACCTTTCCAAAACATATCTTACCTGTCGTGTCATGATTTTGCCCTGCCTTTCGGTGATGAGACAGCAACATATATTAATTTTCTCTGTCTTTACTTCTAGAACAACCTCCTTACTAGCGTCAATTAAAGTTTATGCGTTTTTCTTTATGGTATCTATATAATCACCCACTAGACTCACATAATCAGCATAGAACAACAGCTGATGTGTCCCATTCAATTTCAGCCCCACCTGGTTTTCCTGGGCTTCCTAATGGCATATTCTAAAGCAAAGTTAAAAAGGGGTGATGATAAAGCATCTTGTTTCAGATCATTATAGCTCTATCAGATAAATATTTACCTATAAGGACTTTACAGTACGTTTCGTTTAAACACATTTTAATCATCCTGAGTAGTTTCATGGGTACTCCAAACTGTATGAGAATATTGTACAGTACTTCCCTCCTAAGAGAATCATAGGCTTTTTTGAAGTCTATGAATAGCTGATGTAGTCTCATTTTGTACCCACATTTTCTCACAAGTTATCTGACGAATGCGAAAATCTGATCAGTAGTTGATCTGTTTCGTCGAAACCAACACTAATGATGCCCAATTATTTCGTCTATTTATGGAGAGAAGAATTTTGGATAAAATTTTATACGAAGTTCATAGCAGTGAGGTCCCTTGTTAATTACTGCAGGCAGTTTTATCGCCCTTCTTGTGAACTGGTACAATAATAGGCACAATTTTTTCTTATGCCAAATAGAATTAATTAACTTATGAATCTTAGAACGTAATATTTCGCCTCCTGCCGGAATTTGATCAATACCTGGCGATTTATAAATTTTCAATTTTGCAATGGCAATTTCAAACTCAAAAGGGCTAGGATCAGGTACTAACAGTTCAGCAGTATGTATTTCTGTCAGCCTAACATCACCGCCCTATGTACATTCAATAACAGAAGTAGTTCTTACACCTATTCAAAATGTTGTGTGAATCTGCAAGCAGTTCACCACTTTTATCCTTCACTAAGTTACTTCTACATTGGTAACCCCACATAAAGTCACTTATTCCTCTATACGGGTCTCCAATGTTCTTGTTCTTACTGTTCATTGCAAGCTCATCAATTTTGTCTTTCAGATATTCCCTCTTTTTGTTCCTGAAATTCCTGCTGTTTTCTCATCTTATAT